CACATCTCGAACAACACCAGTTACGGAAAAGGTAACTGTCTTTTAAGTTCGTTACAGGGGCTACTGGGTGAAATTCTACTGCCTGTGTTATACAGGAGGTCAGATTAGATGCTCTAATTGCCTTAAAATCTTCTTTTGCTTTTCTGGTTTAGTTATGTTCTGCAGCCTTAGGATTTTGAGAAGAGTTGGAGCTTGTGGAGGACAATGAGGATCTGGGGTGCTTTTCTGTATCTTTTTAGAAGAGGAATTCTCACTATTTATCAGCTAACCTGTCCCATTTTCTTGGCGGGGACTCCTATTTTCTGTTCAGACTGTTTGGGTGGGGGAGAATGGGTTTGGTGCCCCCGTGCTCATATTTCAATATAATTGGAATGGTAATTCATAGTTCTTCTTTGAGTGTTGGTCCTTATGTGTATTGTACTGTGGCTATGCATGCGCTCCACGTACATGAGACCTGAGAATTCTTGCAAGTAGCATCTGTTGGTCCATGCCTGGGCCCCCTCTGTCCTCGTGTTCTATGCCAAAGGTATAAGGAACAGTGCAGACCAACATCTCCCCAGTTCCTCCTTACAGCCGTATGGCCTGAGTGGGAATCTCCAGTGTCTGGAACTGATCCTTTTCAACATTTCCCACTAAATATTTCAGTTTTATATGTAGTTTAGTTTTAAAAGTTCTGCTCAGAGGAGGGTGGAGACCCATGCTCGACTTGCAGCAACTCAATTTTTTTAATCACAAGCTAAAATTCTGCATGGTTACGCTGGCATTGATAATACTGTCCCTAGAAAAATATGTGGTTCACAGCTCTCGATATGAAAGATGCATACGTTCATGTGGATTTTCACCCTTCCCACAGAAGATTCTTCAGTTTTGTGATAGATCCTGACCACTGTCAATACAGAGTACTCCCATTCAGTCTAGTAACTACATCCAGGGTTTTTATGAAAGTGTTTTCTGTAGTAGCGGGCATCACAACTCAGACAGGGCTGTTCCATATCCATGGGGATCTCTGTAAACATACATGTCTACCTTTGCTCAGACCCAAACTATAGCTTTCATAAGAGCTTAGTCTGACCTTAGACTCAGAGCAAGAGCTTGTGTCCCAATCAGTTTCCAAGCCATGGGCAATCTGATAAATCAGGTAGACATTGGTCTAGATTTGCCTTACTGTCCTGGGTCACATGGAGTCATGTACTTACGTAACACTGTTTACCAAACTCTACCTCTGCTGCCTGAAAGCTTGGCTTTGACCAATATACGCTGAGCACAAACAGCAAAAATGCTGTAGTGACAATCCCCACTGAGAAAAGGGCCTCTCTAACTTGGTGGAAAGATCCCACACCAGTGTGCATAGGCATTTCTTCCCTATTCCCCCACACCCGGTGGATAATCACAGACATCTCCATGTTAAGTTCAGGGGCTCACATGGATGGTCACACAGCACAGGGCACTTGGACACCTCAGGAAACAATGCATGTAAATCTCCCAGAACTCAGAGCTGTCCGAGACGCATACAGGGCATTCTTACCAGTAATCCAGTCCGTCACATTCTTGCACTGTTAGGCAATATGACTATAGTCTGCATAAACAAACAGGGAGGAATAAGATCCATTCCTCTGTGTATAGAAGTGGTCAGTTTATGGAACTGGTGTGTGTACTCCCCCAAGAACCCAGAATTTGTTGGCAGACAGGCTTAGCAGGTAGTTTTCCAGCAACCACAAGTGTGGTTACACAGCTCAATGGTGAACATCTTTGCTCAGCAGGGAACCCCTACCTGAGATCTGTTCACCTCTGATAAACAAAGTGCAGCACATACTCTTCGAAGGGAGCTCAGGGCCAATTCTCCAGAGGTGATGCTCTCCTATGCGCTTGGACAAATCGTTTGAACTATGCCTTTCTTCCTAATCTGCTGCTCCCTTGAGTGTTGCAAAAGATTCAAGAGGGCAGAAGGAGTTATTCTTGCACTCAAATTGCCCAGGCAGTTCTAGTTCCCAGGTCTCCTGCATACATCAGCCCAGCCACTCATTAGCATTCATCCCTTCCTGGACCTCTTCACTCAAGAACAGCAGGGTCAGACATCCCAACCTGGAAGCTGTTCACTTCATGGCTTAGTATATGGATGGGCATCAGACCAAGAACATTCCTGTTCCAAAACTGTGCAAGCCATTCTTACTAATTGCAGAAGGGTCTCAACCAAAAAACGTTACCTTGCCGAGTGAAAGCATTTCTCTGTCTAGGCCCAGCACCACTATGTGTCTCCTGATATTTTGGATTACCTCCTTATTCTCAAGATGGGTTTCTTCCTTCGCTTGATACGGGTTTACCTGGAAGCAATCAATGAGTGAGATGGTTACTCTATATTTACTCACCTCCAGGTTCTTAAAGGTCTTAATTAGAACTTCCAATTGGTAATAAGACCAACCCCTTAATGGCACTATAATTTAGTACTTTAACACTTACCTTTTGAATCCTTGGCTCCTCTTTGATTCTTCATCTATCTATGAAGGTTGTATTCCTCATATCCATTACCTCATCAAGATGGGTAGGTAAACTGGGGAACCTAATGGCAGTCCCTCCTCATGGTATAAAGACAAGGTCTTGCTATGACTACGTTCAAATTCATCCCAATGTAGTTTTGAAATTTCACATAAACCAGATTATCTATTTACCTGTGTTGTTCTTGAAGCCTTGCGCCTCCAGTGAAGCGACTTCATTCCTCGACAGCTCTGGCATTTTACCTAAGAGAACAAAACTGATCAGAAAGTCACCTACATTTGTTTGCCATAACAGAACAAGCCCAAAGACCAGCTGTTTCCTCCCAGAGGATCTCCAAATAGATCTGTGGCTGTATCCTATTTTATCAGCTGGCACACTTTCCTACCTCACATGGTGTACGGGCTCACTCTATAAGAGTGAAGGCAGCTCTGGTAGTATCACTTCAAGAGGTAACTAGCAGCAACGTGGAGTTCCATCTGCATATTTACAAGACATTTTGCCATAATCCAAGCCTATGCTGATGCATCCTTTGGGACAGTGGTTGTGTGAACAGCTTTACCACCTGCCTCCTTACACCCTCCTTATTCTCCTCTGAATACTGCTTTATCAGTCACGCACAGTGGAATACAGAGAGGCCAGCGCTCAAAGGGAAGAGTTCTTCGACATGTGTGGTCCTCACCTGTATTCCATTACCCACTCTCCTTCCCCGCTCTGTTAGATCATCTGATACACAGTAAGAGGTGAGGAACTGGAGAGGCCTCAGTCCCCACTGCCCCTTATACTTTTTGGTGCGGAATAGTAGGGGAGAGAGGATTCAGGTGTGGACAAACAGACACTACTTGCAAGAATTCTCTGGTCTCAGGCACAAGGAGTGCATGCGTACCCACAACTGAATACAGATAGGGACCACACATCTCTAAGAACTCCATTTATGAATGGTAAGTAACTTCCCTTCTTTCGCCAGACAGCTTTGAAAACAGGGGGAAGAAGGTGTTAGCTGCTATAAAGATTGGGGGAGCTGTCAGAGAAATCTGAATGAGCTAAATCTAAGAGTATTCTCCTATTCAAAACAGACACAAGTTGTCATTCCTCTACAACAGGGGTCGGCAACCTTTCAGAAGTGGTGGGCCGAGTCTTCATTTATTTACTGTAATTTAAGGTTTTGCGTGCCAGTAATACGTTTTAACGTTTTTAGAAGGTCTCTATAAGTCTATAACTAAACTACTGTTGTATGTAAAGTAAATAAGTTTTTTAAAATGTTTAAGAAACTTCCTTTAAAATTAAATTAAAATGCAGAGCCCCCCGGACCAGTGGCCAGGACCCGGGCAGTGTGAGTGCCACTGAAAATCAGCTTGCGTGCTGTGTTTAGCACGCGTGCCATAGGTTGCCTACCCCTGCTCTACAATCTTCCTTCAAGGAGGTCATTTGGGAGGAGGAAGAAACTCTCAACAATGGGAAGAACTTCAATTGGCAAACTGAGTAATTCTACCGGTTTCTAGAATGCAAAGATACTCTTTCCTCTTTCTATGCTTGATAGTGGTGCTGGATGAATGGCACAAGAAATGGTAATTTCTGCTGAATGATTTCTTCCCTGAAAACACCCTGCAGACAAGAAGATAAAAGCCCCACTTAAAAGGATCTCTGAAGCTTTTTCAGCTGTACTCACTCAGAGCCTCTCTCGCAACCATCTGCTTCACCAGGGACACAATATCCTGGTGTAATGACCTAAAAAGTGTAGCTACCCAGAACTAAGGAGAATTCAAGTTTTATATTAAAGAAATATCTCAGGCTACTTAATTCAGAGCAGACAGATCCATGGATTCCATGAAACTGGCAGCCAACACTGGAGCCAGATGCTAAATCCTGTCTAAGTTATGGACAGCAGATAATTTATTCAAAGCAAATATTTGTACCTCACAATTCTTAGGACAAATCTAGTTTGCAGAGACGATTGATTGTGGTGCTGACAACACAGATAACTCCAAGAGTTCGTTCCCCACTCTGGAGAGATCCAAAAATGCACTACAAGCCTTCATTCAGGAGCAGAAGTGCCTTTTGTTCCAACCTACAACAAAGATACCAAACATGAGACTCACTACATAGCTAGCAAATCTGGGTCTTGAACTCTTAGGATAAACCTACACTCAAAATGAGACCAATCCCTCTTTCCAGCTCAGACTATCAAAATAAGTACAGTTGTGCTTCCATCTGTACAAAAATAGATCTAGAGCAGAGGATATTCTCCCTTCTCCAATTGCCATTGAAGAATAACTTCTCAAGCAGCTGGATCCATTGAACTTCAGAAAGTTGAGCACTGGAAATAATGCACCCTTGATATTCTGGAGCTCGAGGCTCATCTGCATCCTTTCTTCATAGCCTCAACCTCAAGAGATACCCAGGAATATCCAGAAAGATTCTACAGCTACTAGAGATGGGAACAGTCTGTGTCCCTCGGTGTGAAAGATGTTCAAGACTCTCCATCTTCATATACGAAAAAGGTCAAAAGGAGTCTAATTCATCTTAGACTTCAAGATGCTGTTCAAGTTGACTTTTAAAGAAAATGAAATTTAAGATGGAGACTAGTTGCCACTATTGCTGGACTCTCTCCAAGAGATGTACTTAGGTGGGGAATGTGACAGAAGCAGCTCACCTGCATATTCCAGTCAGATCCTTTCATCAGCAACTTCTTTAGTTTACCTATAGAAATTATCTATACCAATACAAAATTTTATCTTTTGGCCTGTCCATCATCCACAAGGTGTTCATAACGGTGTTGGTCGTGATTATAGCTAGGGACAGATGTTTCCGAAATTATCTGTACCCATTTCTAAATATAGTACTCATCTGAACCACCTCCTCAAGGGCTTCACAGGAAACAACCTATTTCATCTTCATCTGTTAGTCTTAAAGGTGCCTCTTTGTTGCTCATTTAAAACTGTCATTATAATTTTAATTAACTTTTTTTGGTCCACCTGTACTCCAGAAGAATAAATGCTTTATAGGTAGGAGGTGATAATGCCTATACTTACGCCTATCTTCAGTCACTTATTTTTGCCAAATTTGACTCTTGACTGAAATTATCCATACTTGATCTGAGCCTCAGCCTCAGACAGGTGTGTTTAAAAGTTTAGCAAAAACGGTTCCACCTTTGCTTCCAGGAATGAGAGAGGAAAAATAGATAAGTGGAAAGCATAGCAAATTATTCCTTTCCTATGTATGCTAACATCTTATTGTTGACTTTTAATCCTTTAATTGAAGGGGTAGAGGACTGTGGTGTGGATCTTAAAGTTCAAGGTTTACCCCCATCCTCTTCCCCCTCAATGAACAAAGCAGAGAGTCAACATGTCTCTAATGATGATTTTAAATAAAACTACCACCCTAGGAGCTTGCATACAAAAAGCTCTACTAAAACACCATTAAGGTTGCAAAGTTCAAATTGTGTGTGTAATCTTAATGCAGACCTCCATGTATATGTTTTATGAAGTCTGTGTGATATTATTTATTCTACTCAAACCTCATTGGGTGGACAGGAGTCACAGTGAATGAGGCAGAGGGCTGCATGAGGAAAGATAGATACCTTATTTATGGCAGTGGAGTAGGACCCTAAGAGAGCTTGTCTTTACCTGGCTTTATCACTGCCCTAGATGACCTTAATCAAGACTTTATGCTGCATATGCAGTGGTGTTGTACCCAAGTTGGTCCCAGGATATTAGAGAGACAAGGTGTCATCTTTTATTGGACAAACTGCTGTTGGTGAAAAAGACAAGCTTTCCAGCTTTCAGAGGGCTTACTGGAAGAAAAGTTCTGTGTAAGCTTGTAAAGCTTCTCTCACCAACCGGAGTTGGTCCAATACAAAGTATTACCTCACTCACCTTGTCTCAGTAATACTGCATGGTCACAAGTGGGCCACATCAAAGTTGCACAAGCCCTCCTAATTTTGGTATTTTGTTTAGTTTCAAAAGTCAGCAACTCAAAGGTAGTTGTTTTAATGTAGAAGTTTTTTTTTGCTTTTTTAAATAAATATATACAAAGCAAAACCAATGCTCTACTCCATTCCCTTTTTAAAGAAATACATCTTTCCCAGGCTGAAACTACTGCTAGATGCTGCTGCTTTCAGTAAGGTGGCCAGATTTAATTCAAGTGGAAAAACTATTCCATTGGCCAAGAGGCAGCCTGTGCCAAGGCCCAGACCCACAGTCAGTGTTCCCTCTAATTTTTCCCACACGTGTGGAATTAATTTTATGTACACCAATATGGAGGTGGTGTGTGGCACATGACCTTCATATTGGTGCACATAACAAAATTCATGTGGTAAGGGTGGGTTCAGGACTGGGGCAGATGGTTGGGCTGTGGGCTCTGGCCTGGGGCTGGGACTGAGGGGCTATGGGCTGTAGGGCGTGAGGGCTGCAGCTGGGGGTGTGGGCTCTCGGGTGGGGCTGGGGATGAGGGGTTTGTGGTGCAGAGGGTGCTCTAGGGCTAGAGAGAGGACTCCCTGGGGCAGCTCTAGGATTGGTGCTTCTCCCCTGGCTGCAGCAGGTCCTGGTTGGCTAGGTTCCCTGAGCACCTGCGTGGTGTTAAATAGGCTGGTGCATGGCTGTGCAGCTTACAGAGACCTTAGCCCACAGTCCCTGCTCTCAGGGCTTGTCTATACATAGTGCGGGTAGGGTGACTAGAGGTCCTGATTTTATAGGGACAGTCCAGATAGTCGGGGATTTGTCTTAGGCACCTATTACCCCTCCCTTCCCCTACCCAACCCTATTTTTCACACGTGCTATCTGGTCAAAATAAGCACTGCAGCAGCTCCCATTCAGCCCTCCGGCTGTAGCTGCTACCTGCACTGATGGGAGAGCATCTCTTATCAAGCATAGTTACGCTGCCGGCCCGAGCGGTGGTAGCTATGCCTGCGGGAGAAGCGCTCCACCGTAGGCTTGTCCACAGCCCTAAGCGAGCTCTCCAGTGTAGACTGAGCCTCTGCTTGCTGTGAGGTGCCAGTAGGGAGTGCCCCGGTGCTGAGTTGTCCCCTTTATCTGTTTTTCACATGGAGTGTTGCTGCATGAGGTGGTCCCTGCCTGCCCACCAGGAGACCCCTGTGAGGGGGTGGGGTGAAGGCTGAAAAAATGTTACGCTCTGACACTGCCCCCAACCTGGCATGTGCCAGCCTGGCAGCAGGCAAGGGTGGGGTGAGATAGGGTTACCATTCGTCTGGATTCCCCTGGACATGTCCGGCTTTTTTCAGTTACAAATAGCGTCCGGGGGGAATTTGTCAATGTCTGGATTTCCCCCCCATGCAGAGCGCGCGTGGCTGACAGGGCAGCTGGCCGGATCGTGCCACTCGCCCAGGGCTCCGGCAGCCAGAGCCCCTCCTCCACTTCCCCCTCCTCTCTCCTGCAACTTGACACCACTCCCCTCCTCTCCCTTCCTCCCCCCCCCCCCCACCTGCATTCGCAGATTGCCAGCCGGCAGTTCGCCTCCGCCTCCGGCAGTCTGGAGCTCCGACCCTGCTCCCCTCCCCCGCTGTCGAGCGCGCCGCTCTGCAGCACAGTAAGGGGGTCAGAGAAGCGGCAGGGAGGTTCTGGGGGAGGTAGTCAAGAGACAGGGAGCAGGGGGAGGATTGGATGGGTCAGGATTGGATGGGTCAGGAGTTCGGGGGGGGCTGTCTGGGGGTTGGGGGTGTAAGGTTTTAGGCAGTCAGAGTACAGGTGGGGGGGGTCTCAGGAGGGGGCAGTTAGGGGACAAGGCACAGGGAGGCTTAGGTAGGGGGTGGGGTTCTGGAGGGCAGTTAGGAGCAGGGGTCCTAGGAGGGGGCAGTCAGGGGACAGGGAGCAGAGGGGTTTAGGTGGGTCAGGAGTTCTGGGGGCTGTCAGGGGGTGGGGGTGTGGATAAGGGTTGGGGCAGTCAGGGGACAGGTAGGGTCCTAGGGGGTCAGTTAGGATGTGGGGAAGGTCTCAGGAGGGGGCAGTCAGGGGACAAGGAGCAGGGCGGCTTAGGTAGGGGGTGGAGTCCGGCGGGGCAGTTAGGGGCAGTCAGGGGACAAGGCGTGGGGGGGGTTGGGGATTCTGAGGGGGCAGGAAGTGGGAGGAGTGGAAGGGGCAGGGGTGGGGCTAGGGCAGGACGGGGGCGGGGCTAGGGCAGGGTTCCTCCCATCCTCTTTTTTGATTGTTGAAATATGGTAACCCTAGGTGAGACAGCAGTTCTGCGGGCTGTCAATGCTTCCCCCTTCCCACCCTGACTGGCATATGCGCTTCCACTCTGTTTCAGCAGGGCAGGGCTTGCATTGAGCAGTTGCTCTAGGGCAGGGGTGGGCAGACTTTTTGACCCAAGGGCCACATCTGGGTATGGAAATTGTATGGCAGGCTATGAATGCTCATGAAATTGGAGGATGGGGGTGCAGGTTTTGTGGTGGGGCAAGAAATGAGTTCAGAGTGTGGGCAGGGGCTCTGGATAGGGGGGGAAGGTTCTAAGTGGGGGTGTGATTTCTGGGGTGGGGATGAGGGATTTGGGGTGCAGGAGTGTGCTCTGGGCTGGGACTGAGGGGTCTGGAGAGTGGGAGGGGGATCAGAGCTGGGGCAGAGGTTTGGGGCATGGGAGGGGGTCAGAGGTCGTATTGGCCAGGCAGCGCTTACTTCAAGCCACTCCCAGAAGTAGCAGCATGTCCCCTCTCTGGCGCCTATGCAGAGGTGTGGCCAGGCAGCTCTGTGCTCTGCCCTGTCCATAGGTGCTGCCCCTGCAGCTCCCATTAGCCGTGGTTCCGAGCCAATGGGAGGTGCGGGGGGGGGGGCACTTATGGCGGGGGGCAGTGTATCAGCCCCTTGGGTGCACCTATGCGTCGGAGCCGGAGGGGGGGACATGCAGCTGCTTGTAGGAGCTGCACGGAGCCCCGGACCCTGCTCCCCGGCGGGAGCTCAAGGTTTGGATTAAAATGTCTGAAGGGCCGGATGTGACCCCCAGGCCATAGTTTGCCCACTCCTTCTCTATGGTTTGTGGGGCGGCTCCGTGCGGCTAGAGCGGCTCCGCAGCTCGGTGTGCCCAGCAGTGCTAGAGCGGCGCCCTTCCCGCCCCCCCTCACGCCGCGATTGGGCTCCACCCAGGCCGAGATTCTTTGGCGCCTGCGCAGTCGCGGGCGTGGCCGGCACTACTGAGCTGTTGGGCGCGGACTCGGGGCCGTTTCGCGGGGCCCTTGTTGCCGGTGGGGGTTGGGCGGCCCGATGGCGACGTTCTTCGGGGAGGTGGTGGCGGCGCCGTCCCGGGCCGGAGTGGACGACGAGGAGGAGGCGGCGGTGGAGCGCGAGGAGACGCCGGAGGACCGCGAGATCCGCAGGGAGCTGGAGAAGAAAAGGTGGCGGGGCGGGGGCAGCGCGCGGGGGCCGCAGGGCGCGAGCTTGGGCGCTTGGCTGTGTCAGCGCCCGGGGAGAGACGCAGCGCTGCTGCCTGAGCGATGTGGCGCTCGGACGCTGTTTGTGGTGAAAACGCGGGATCGGGCCTGAGAGCCGCGTTGTCTTTATCAAACCTAGCACGGGAGGGGGGCGAGCCCGTGCAACCCTCCCGTGTGGGAGGCTGGTGCGGAGTGGCCTGTGCTCAGCTCAGTTTCTGGGCTGAGCTTATTTTCCTCCCGCTTGTCTCTCTGGGTGTCAGGCGGGAGTCATAGCAATGTAGCGCTGGAAGAGACCTCAAGAGGTCATTAATCCAGTCCCCGGTGCTGAGGCAGGACTGGGTATACCTGGACCATCGCTGTCAGCTGTTTGGAGGGGTTTAAGATTTCCACTGCTTAACTAGCCTTATAGCTGGATTTTTTTCCTAATAGGGAACCTAAGTCTCCCTTGCTGCAGATTAAGATTAAGATAATTACTTTGATCACCAGCTGCACATGGGGGCTTTGTAACAGCCCTTAAGGTGTTTGAAGACTATCAAGTCTCTCCCCTTCTAAGCTCCCTCAGTCTCTTTTGCTCAAGACTAAAACATGCCTAATTGTTTATAACCTTTTAGTTTTCTAAACCTTATCATTTTCATGTTTTTACTCTGGACTCTCTCCAGTTTGTTCTCATTTTCCTATGCTCAGAACTGCACCTGCAACTTCAGCTGAGGACTCACCAGTGCCAAATAAAGTGGGTCAAGACTTCCTGTGTTATATATCTGACATACCTGTTAATACACCCCAGAGTGATAGCCTTTTTCATAACTGCATCACATAGTGGACCACAAATTGAATGAGTTAACAATAACCCATAGATTCTTTTCAGCAGTACTACTGCCTAGCCAATTATTCCCAATTTTATAGATGTGCATTTGATTTCTTCCTTCCTAAGTGTAGTACTTTGTTTGCACTCATCTTTATTGAATTTTGTTGATTTCAGAGCAGTTCTCCAATTTGTCCAGGTTGTTTTGAATTCTATTCTTGTCCTCCAAAGTACTTGCAGCCCCTCCCAGCCAGGTGACATTTGCAGATTTTATAAGCATACTATCCATTATCCAAGTCATTAATGAAAATATTGAATAGTACTGGACTCAGGACAGACCCCAGTGGGACCCCACTATATACATCTCTCCAGTTTGACTGCAAGCCATTGATTACTACTCTTAAACGGGTTGAAAGACCATAATCTTGCACCTATTTTATACTATTTTCTTCTAGACGACATTTACCCAGTTTGCTTATGAGAATGTCATGTGGTACTGTGTCAAAAGCTCTACTGAAATTAAAATATATCATATCTACTGTTTACCCCCTATCTTTTAGGTTAGTAACCCTGTCAAAGAAGTAAACTAGGGTGGCTTGACATGATTTGTTCTAGAGAAATCTATGTTGGCAATTACTTAGAACCCTATTATCCTCTAGATGCTTACCATTTGATTAGTTAATAATTTGTTCCAGTATTTTTCCAGGTGTTGAAGTTAGGTCTGTAACTCCCCAAGTCCTTTGTTCCCTTTTTAAAAACTCAGTCCTATGTTTGCTCTTCTCCAGTTGTCTGGGACCTCACCTGTCCTCCATGAGTTCTCAAAGATAATCACGAATGGTACTGAGATTAACCCAGCTAGTTACTTAAATGCCCAAGGGTGAATTTAATCAGGTTCTTCTGATTTGAATACATCTAACTTATCTTTCTTTAACCTGTTTTTTCCCTGTTTTGGCTTGTGTTCCTTTCTTTGTGTAACATAGGATGATTCTCACAAAAACTATTTTTGTATTGTTTTTCCAGGTTATAGAGAGAGGTAAATGGATCTGACCTTATTGCACAATGTGTGTTCCTATCCATTGTTTGTTTTGTTTGCATTTAACCTATTTCTGTTTCTTATGCTAGAGAGGTCCACATCCTTTGGAGTTCAAAGTTAAGTGCATCTACTGGAAGCTTTACAGATGAGCAGTTTCCTTGCTCTAAGTTTATATTGGCGATAGGACATAACGCTGTAGGTAAGTGGTCTAGACTGAGAAAAAAGCTTTAGAAACTCTATACAATTGTTTTGCCCTGCTCCCACTGTAACTTTTGAATACTGAGCAGTAGCAGGTAGGAACATGGGGAAGGTGTGTGTGCTAAGAGAGCGCTTTTCTACATGAAGCCATGTTTGATTTTGTTTTGGATCTCACCATGACTGTTAAACTCCCTTTTATGCAAAGGATAGCAGCAATCTGGGTGCCTGGCAAAATGGGTAGAGAATTGCAGTGCTCCTGCAGGAGGCATTCTGACCATGCTCGGGAGGGATTTTAATTACTTCCGTTTTTCATTCAGGAGATAAACTTTTAGACCTGATGTTGGTGAAGAGAACTTTCCAAATGTAAACTGAGGTAATGATGCGTCTTTAGACAGCACCAATAATTCTGAAGTTGTACATTGCTTTGCCATACTGAAAGTCTTTATTTTATTTCTTTTGATACCTGCAGGAGGTAGCATTTAAAAATACATTTTTTTTAAAGTATCTATCCCATATGGTTATCTGACACATCTTGAAAAATGCAAATGATCCCATAAAGATGATTTCCATTGCTCATGTCAATTTGTCTGCCACTAAGAAACTAAGAGTAGGAGCAAAGGCAGGCACTGAAGCTTTTTACAGTGGAATGCAAATAATCTGTTTTTGGGACATGTAGGGTAGCAGAGATACAGTAAGTTCTCACTTAACGTCATCCTAGTTAACGTTGTTTTGTTGTTACGTTGCTGATCAATTAGGGAACATGCTCGTTTAAAGTTGCGCAATGCTCCCTTATAACGTTGTTTGGCAGCCGCCTGCTTTGTCCACTGCTTGCAGAAAGAGGAACCCATTGGAGCTAGCTAGTGGGGCTTGGAACCAGGGTGGACCGGCAGCCCCCCTATCAGCTCCCCTAAGTTCCCTGTGTGGCAGCTGTCCAGCAGACTGTGAATTGCCAGGCAGTTCAGCTGTCCTTCCCCACGCTGCCCTGTGCTGCTCCTGCCCTCTGCCTTGGAGCTCCTGCTTGCTGTGTGCATGTGGGGTGGGTATGTGCTAATGTCAGGGTGTCCCCCTACCCTCCATCTCCACCGAGCAGGGTGGAGGGGTGGGGGACACATGACAGGGCTCAGGACTGGAGGGAGCTTGCTGGCAGCAGCTGTTATCTCAACTTGCTGATCTACTTTAAAAGGCAGTATACTTAGAGTGGGTTCAGCATATTTAAAAGGGGCAATACGCGACACACACACTCTCTCTCTCTGCCATGCTGTGTCTCCTCCCTCCATTCCTGCTGCCTTGTACAGTGTGAGGCTACATTAACAACACTGTGTTAACCCTGGAGAGCTCAGCCAATTGCTAGTTCAGCATTTAGTAGTAAGGCATTCCCTGGGAAATATCCTACCCTCTGACTCCACCACCTCAACCAAGCTTCACAATCATCATTGCTGTTTACAGTATTATTGTTTGTTTAAAACTTACACTGTGTGTGTGTGTGTGTGTGTATATATGTATGTCTTTTCTCTGAAAAATTTCCCTGGAATCTAACTCCCCTATTTACACTAATTCTTATGGGGAAATTGGATTCGCTTAATATCGTTTTGCTTAAAGTAGCATTTTTCAGGAACATAACTACAAGGTTAAGCGAGGAGTTACTGTATACCTGCTTGTCCTGCCTTATAACAGCCGGGAAGCTGGGATGGGAGTAGAATAATACAGACGCCTCTCTTGCAGTCTGAGTTCCCAACAGCCATGAATTGGTAGGAAAGAGGAAAAGCTCCTTCCAGCAGCCCAAGGGTGGATTGGCACTCCAAATTTCAGAACCCTGTTTAAATCTAGTCTTGACAAGGGTTTAAAGATGTAGTGTGAGTTTGAACTAGCTACCATAATCTAACTCTCACATTCTAGGCCTTGTTTTAACTAGTTAAGTTGTACTTTAGCACTTGCTAAGCTGGCCAAGCTAAAGCATGGACTTTTTGCTTCCCGCATGGCTTTAGCTTGACCTGCTTAGCATGTGCTAATGTCCAGCTTGCCTGGTCTTAACTAGAATTTTTGAAGGTGTGTGCTAGTTTGAACTAGCTGATGTGATCTGAAACCTCTTTAAATCCTAGTCTAAACAAAGCCTCAGAGAGTGGAACATTGAGCAGAGTAGGATAGGAATTCTAGCACCTTCCTTTCCTATCAGCTAGGGATGACATCTGACTTTCTCACCAGGGATTTGCCCTTGGATTTTATTTGCGGGGGGCCTCCCTTCTTCATCTCTTAATATTGGTTTCTGATCAGTATGCTTAGTCTCTGGCTAGGTGGTGTCTGGTAAATTCTTCAAGCCCTACTTTTGATCACTTCCTGTAAATTGTGAAGTTCACTTTTGGCAAAAGCAGGCAGAGCCTTGCTCTGAGTTTTGGTACTGAGGAAGAAGCTAGTACCAAAGCCATGATGATGTGGATTAACAAGATAAGAAAAGTTGCTTCACTCATTAAGGCAAAAGTGCAAGTATTATTTGAATAGTGCACTCCTGCTATTTACACTACTTGGG